TACATTGTGCTAGTCAGAATTAAATCTGGTATGAAATTCATATAATTCATTTTAAGACAGAGAGTACAAAAAAACTCCAAGGTTTCAAATCGAGAATTATCAAAATAATACAAAATAAAAATCCGTTCGAAATTTTCATCTGGAATTTCGAAAATGATTTTTATCAGCGGCTGTTTTTGGTTGCGATACGATTCAGTTTTGCTTAAAAGGATCACAACTGGTAATGAATCATGGGTATATGGTTATGACATCGAAACCAATGCCCAATCGTCCCAATGTATGAGTCCGGGAGAGCAAGACCAAAATATGAACACCAAGTTCGATGAAATAAAGTTTGGTTTTCGATATCCTTCGGTTACCGTGGCGTAGTGAACCAGGAGTTCTTGCCACATGCTCGTACAACCTCTTAATCATGCCTCACCCACCGTATTCACCAGATTTGCCTCCCTGCGACTTTTTCCTGTTTCCAAGATTGAAGAGACACATGAAAGAATGGCGTTTTGCGACGATTGAGAAGATAAAAAACGAATCGCTGAGAAACTTCAAGGACATACCAAAAAAACTTCAAGTAGTTGATTTTTGGTATAGTTATCTTCAAAATATAAATTGTTATCCATTAAAAATGTTTGTATTTCATTTTTCTTCAAATTTCTATTCAGTACTTTGATGAGCTGTCGCGAATGATAGGAAGCGTTGTCAAGAACTACACTATTCGCATCCAAATTTGGGATCAATGTATTTTCAAACCATTCCTCAAAAATATTAGCTTCCATGTTCTTGTAATAGTCAACATTGCAGTCCTCAAGTTTTTTTTCACGTAATTTCAAAGAATTCGGAACCCATCCTTTACTTCCTCCGCAATGCACAATGATTAGTCGCGATCCTTTGTTTGCAGGCATGTTAGGCCTACACATTCTCGAACCATCAGTCCATCCTTTCGTAACTGTGTCGTGAGTGTCATACCAAATTACGACCAAATAGAAAATTTGTCGTTGTACTTGTCTATATTTAGTTATTTGTTCTAAGTATTTGTTACGCAATTCCACTATTCTTCTGCTTTCCATAACTGCTTGACGTTTGTTTATCATTTTGAATCTAAATCCTAGTTTCTTTATCATATTCTGAAGAGTTTTGTCACAGCAGCTCACGTTATGTCCGGAAGTATTCAATTTCTTCCTTATGATATCAATTGTAGGAATCTCATTGCTTATGAAACAGTCGTATATTGTTTTTCTTTAATGATTTTATTAGATGAACATCTAAAGGTTTTGGTAATTCCGTATCACATCGCGTCTTGTGTTCATAAGGTTTGTTTTTGAGTATGTTACGTACAGTTGAGAAAGGAATTTCGGTCAAATCTGATGTTGCTTGTGATAGTTTGTTTCCCTCGAAACCAAACTTGAGATGTAAATTCTTATATTCATAGAAACATATTCTTCAATATTCAAATGCATCCGAATCTTATTCACTGGTTCTCATTTTCGCATTGTTCACCATCGCTATTGGAATCATTACACAAGAAAAATTCTGCGTTGTTAACACACTTGTTATTACTATTAACTAGTTTTTGTCCAAGGACGCCACATTTTAAACAGATAACAAAAATTTTGAGTAATAATTACAACTGCACCAGTATCAAATTTCAACACTCAAATCGCGATCAGTTCCTGAATTGAACATTGACAACACGAAGTGTATAAACATCGTCGCATTCTATTCGTCACCGTTCAAATTTAATTTTATGATTATTCAGCCAATCGTAAAACTCGTTTAGTAAAAATTATCCAATACAAACCGCCAATTCTTCAGTCCATGTGGACTAGGCGGCAGCGGCATAATTTCTTTGTATTGGTTTTTTTGACCTTTGAGCTCGCCGATACCTTCAACTATTCACAATATCGGTTACTTCGACTATACATTAATGATGTAATTCATACTTATTGGTTATTATATCGATAAATTAATTTGTGTGTAAAAAATGTATCAGGAACTAAAAATCTAGTTCCTGATACATTTTTTTATCGCCATTTTTAATAATTATTATTCATTTTATGTATTTTTCTTTTTTTAAATTAAAAATCGAATGAAATAATTATTATACGACCTTTCGGAAAAAATAATTACTTATCGATTTCCAACCCTGCAAAAGGCAAATGGAGGTGTCCACAGAAAAAAAGAAATGAACAAAATATTCTTACGCCTCAGGAACTGAATGTAAAAAATTTTTTTTGTTTACTGCAAGAAATTCGTATTTCTGAATTCTGAATAATAAAAAAACTCTCGGTGCTGCGGTTAACCCTGGTTAATGCTACATAAAAATAGATTTGTATTTTGACAATTCCTATTAGGTATATACAAACAATTCTTGTGCAGTCAATAAAATAGTATTGTTCATATGTGTGTGCGAAATCTTTCTGTGGTGTGCTCAGATAAAAAGATGTTTGATCAGTTTTCTGCCAAGATTGGATATTTGAACACTTTGATAAATTCGATAAATATTTTTAAACAAACATGAAGTGTGAGATAATTCACGAAATAGCGGCATACTATGCATGTTGAACTTTTAATTGAAAAGCTTCAATTTTGGATTTATAATTCTGAACTCTAATTTTTATAAAATCTTGATGACAAGCTTTAAAATATTTAAATGTTGGATAAAACACTTTGCCAGGGCACATAGTTATCTGTTTACATTAAAGGCGAGATTATAGGAGTAGTTACGTTTAATGATAAAGAACATTTTTGTTTTAGGGATCCATAAGCATCCATACTGGATATTTTCTTTCACAGCAAGCATGTGGAATTTTTAGTGAAATCCGTATCAATAACAGTGTATGGTGAATATTTGGAGGTAGTGATCTTTCGAAAGCGGGAAGGAGAGTCGTCAAAGAATGACGAATTACCGTTATGGAGCTCGCCGCATGTTTAGTCATTTTAGTTGGCAGCGCATTTTCAGTGTTGCGTGATGATGTGGCCATCATAGCTCACAGTCCAAGTCCAATCACGAAACGTCTCCGAAAAAACTCGAAAAAGTCCGATTTTTCAGTTGATAATGACAGAAAATGTATGAAGTGTTTACAGAACCGAAGAGGGCTTATTGGAAAAAAAACAAAAATCCAATATATTGCTTTGCTGACGACAGCACACTTGTCTCGTCATTCTAGGTGGATTCCAGGACATCGGCAACGGAGGCACATCTTCACTGGCAGCAGGAGGTTGCATATCTTAATAAGGATCTAGAAGTGATCGAATTGGGGTGAAAGTAACCAGGTTCAATTCAATGTCACAAAAACCCAGGCATCGGTTTTTTCCAAGAAGATAAATGTCTTCGAACCGGATATAATAATGTCAGGTCAGACAATTCCGCTTTCTGCTTCGATAAGTTTGTTGGGGGTTAAAGTGGACACCAAAATGTCTTGGTACAATCATGTCGCTGAAATAGCAAAGGCTGCTTCTCAAAAGCTTGGAGTACTGTTCCGAGCCAGAAAACTGTACACACCTCAGCAACGTTTAATGATTTATAAAGCTCAGATCAGACCTTCTTTGGAGTATCGTTCTCATGTATGAAGCTCTGCCCCCATACATACCCTGAAGTTGCTGGATTCCATCCAGAAAAGAGCCATCCGCCTGATTGGAGACGCGAACCTTGATAGCCCTGGAACATCGAAGAAAGGTTGGAGATTTGTCTTTCTTCTAATGATACTTTCACGGGAAGTGTTCAAGTGGCTTGGCACCAAGAGCGGTACATATCAGAAATACGCGACGGACTGTGGCTGCTCATCTTTTGAAGTTCACCTCAGTACACCCCGAACTTCGCTGTTCAAAAACTCTTTAATCTGGAGAACTGCGTTTATGTGGAATAAACTTCCTGAGAACGTTTTCACAAATGAATTTAATCTCCAGAGATTCAAATACAATGTGAATCGCTACTTTCGCACAGGCACCGCTCTGAGAGCGCCTTAAGGATTTTCCTGAAGTGCTTGTGTTATGTCCGTATAAAAAGTGTTACTTTTGAAAAAATTGGGTAGATTTCAAAGACCGAATGTTTTTTTGTAGATATGATTTATCATTACTTCTTGAACAGCTCTTGAACATTAGCTGGGTGGTTTACTGAAATATTAACAAAAATTACAGTCATAGGTTAAAGGCTTGTTGAGTAACAGGAACAAATCATTTTTGGAAAACAAAAAATATTGGTGAAGGACACCTCAAATATGTAATTTTTTTTGACATACATTCAAAAATAAAATGTCTTAATGTCATATTCAGTAGTTTAAATAAACACACGTATATGATGTTGTCTCAGAACTCGATTCAGGTTCATAGTTCCGTCTTTCCACGGAGTTGATTGAAATACACTTGATACCTGCCAAAACAATGTATCCGAATGTTTCTTGCTTATTCATATGGTTTCTTGGTGACAATGTTTATTTCATTCCATTTCATAGAGTGATCACGAGTTGACTTTGGAGTATGATTTGGTATCCCCTACCCTCTCAACTGCATTTTCTCTATATATTCACACGATGTTCATTTTTTCTTACAATTAAGGTTCTTGAAGTTTCTCCTATATAACTTTATCTTCTACAGAAACGAGGTGTACTATAAGTACTCACTTTTGTTTTTTCATCCGTATTCACAAGTTTTGTTTATATGAGAGTAGATCTAAATATATTGGTAGTTTTAAAAGTTGTTCTGACATCATATACTAACCAATTCGACTAAATTTTTTCGACAAACCGGAAACAAAGTATGACATTTCTTGTCAGATATTTGTGTTGTTGGGTATGTGGCGATTGTATAATCTATATAAGTTGGTTACTGTTATTACCAATTTCACTGAGGCTTTTTTCTACAAATTATTTTTGATATTGTGGAAGGTTGAAAACATTGAACATCGACTCCTCCAAAAACTTTTTTTCAAACAATACTATTTCATGTCAATCTACATTCTAATTCATGGCCGACCCAAAAACAATTATCATTTCTTTTGCTTTCAGTGTATTCCAGAAAGTAGACAAAATTCCACCTGTAACACCAATGTCAAGTCTATCCTACCGATATCCACCGCAAGCACACTTCCCGCCGCAAGCACCATTCCACCAGCCCGAACCGGCTGCAGCGGCTCCCGCAATGTCTTCCCAACGTTTCTGTTTACGATGGAACAATCATCAGTCGAACCTGCTCTCAGTATTCGACCAGCTCTTTCAAGATGAAAGCTTCGTTGACGTAACCATAGCTGTAGAAGGACGACTTCTCAAAGCTCACAAGATGGTTTTATCAGCGTGCAGTCCCTACTTCCAAGCGCTGTTCATGAACCATCCAGATAGGCACCCGATAGTGATTCTCAAAGACGTACCCTTCAACGACATGCGGTGTTTGCTGGACTTTATGTACCGAGGAGAGGTTAGCGTGGATCAGGATAGACTGTCAGCTTTTCTACGGGTGGCCGAAAGTCTCAGAATAAAAGGGTTAACTGAAGTTAATGAAGAAAGATGTGATAGTATAGCTTCCACACTCACTCAACAAAACATGGGGAACTTGCAGCGCCTCCAGCAGAACAAGAGGTTCGGAAACAATTTGAATATGCTCAGCAATGCGTTGTTGCAGCCTAAGAGGAAACGCGGTAGGCCACGGAAGTTGTCTGGATGCTCGAACGGACCTGATGATTACGATAAGGAAATTGTGCAGGGCAGTCCTGAGATGTTGGAGGTCAAGATGGGAATGGACAATTTCAGTGAAAATCAGTCTGATGGTAGCACTGGAAAACCTGATATTGACGACGATAAGATTAAAGATGAAGAAGAACCTGTTGCTGGGACTTCGAACGAGCAGCAAATGTACAATCACTCGAAAAGCTCTGATGAATTTCAGTCTTCCGGTGAGTTTTTTATGGTTTTTTTCTTCACAATACCACTTTAACCAAGACCTAATAGGTGTAACAAATATTTTTCCATAGATGATTCCGATGCATACAAAAAATTGAAACCAAAATGTTTGAATTACAAACATAATTATTATTCAATATTCTCTCAAATCGATCGACTCAAAACAATTAACATTATTTGACTCTAGGAATCTCAGTGCTACACTATATACAGTTTTCACTGTCAGTGGTCAAGTTGTTACATAGTGTATACCAAAAGTACTGAAATGGAATCCATTTACTTTCTGTTCAGATGGAAATACCATCAATTGTCTCTATAAATGAAACATACTATAACATTTTTAATTTTTGAATGTGCAATAAATTGAGGTTGAAATTCACTTAACAAAATGTTTTATAGAAAATCTCTCACGTAATTTCGATGACTTCTATCAAATTTGAAAAATATTGCTTCTCACACAACGAAAATATCTGACCATTCTGGAAATTTTGGCGTATTCTTGATTTTGAATCACGCATTAACCGAATGCCTTGTCAAATTCAGTGAACTTTCGAGTATAATTTAAAAAAAACAGTGTTGCTCATTTTGCTTCACTTTAAAAAAATACTCTGAGTGATGTTAGTCACTCCAACACATATTCAAAAGTAAACAAAAACCAAGCAAACTTGATACTTTCTAGTAATAGACCTGTTGATCATTTATAGGTCTATTTTTTTCTAAAGTGTGTATCTCAGATCTGATCCTAGTTGTTTGGTGAATTGTGATATGTGACATTTTTTGTCCTATGATGTTTTTCAACTAACTGACCTTTGATTCATTATTAATGAATTTATTATAAAATATGCAAAGTTCTATTGCAAATTATTAAAGGTATTACAGAAATATTGAATACTTGACAATTGAATAAAATGAATATGCATCAAAATTATTGAATAATCAAAATTAATTATAAGAGATAAACGCTAAGCAATCTGTGAGTTGGATGCAAAAATTTAGTGTTGTGCTAGATCTGTTTGTTAAGACAATCAACAGTATTACCTGTTGCTTGTTGGAAACGAATGCCAAATAACTCCAGTCTGTTACATTTGTTGTTTATCGAGATTGTTGACTATCGTCACGTTTCGGAAAACCTATAAAAATATTGGTGAAGGACACCTCAAATATGTAATTTTTTTTGACATACATTCAAAAATAAAATGTCTTAATGTCATATTCAGTAGTTTAAATAAACACACGTATATGATGTTGTCTCAGAAAAGGTGTACATAAATACTTATGATTAAGATCAATATTAAAGTTAAACCTAAAAAATAAAAACTAAAATTAAACCCAAGGACTTTAAATGAGTATAATGTGATATACATATATACACACGTATATATACACACATACACTGAGTGTTACTAGTTACTCTGGATGGAACATGTAGACCAATTATAGACAAGAGGTATGAACAATCAACATGATAGTTCAAAATCTTTTGTAGAAATCTTATATCTAAATAACCTCTAAAGTACTCAGTTTTACTATTTCTATTATCTATAGTGCCAACTTCTCTCAGTGTGTTCTCACTAAAAGGTATATTCAATTTATAAGCTAGATATCTTATATGGATTTATATGGATTTCATATGTTGACGACCACACACATGAACAATACTCCAATATTGATCTAAGCAAAAAATAATAAAGGGTTCTAATGGAATTAACATTAGTGATTTCTCTTGTGGTCATGCATTTTTGTCGCCTTATTCACAACCTCAGAGTGGAGATGGAAATCAACCTTGGTATAAAAAAAAAATACCGAGGTCCTGAACAATGTATGCTTGTTAACTCTAGGAGCCTATTCCCAGTGTATTACCGAATATTTAATGTGTGTGGAATGCCCTAAAGTATAATTGTCAGAGAACAGATCAGCGGCAACTTGTAGAGCAAAGCACATTTTGCACAAATGCTTTTGATGTATTTAGATCAGTTGAGATCAGAGTCTATTATAAGACCTATACTTTTGTTTGGCAGTAGTGACAAAATAAATACTTTGCTCAGTGATTTTGTAACTTCTTCACCTCACCGTAAAGACAGTTTTCATGATGGAGCATATAAAATAAGAAGCCAAATCTTTGAAGTGACAAGTGCCCCTGTTAATCTCAATCCATTTTTTTTGTTTTGATATAGAAAGAACAATATGAAATGATTCTCCAAAATAAAAACTCTCTTTTAACAATAATTCATGGTTGTTTTTCCTTAGTCACCGTTGAATATAAATTATAATTTTTTTGATGTGACTGTATTTGCCATCATGAAAATTCATATTTTATCATAAGGGAAAGAACGTGAGTAAACTAATAAGTCAATTATTCGTATCTGTCAATAATCATGGGTAGATATGTAATCAACATGCATAAGAAAATTTATTTCACATTAATTCAAAAGTGTGCACAGGAAAAACCCCAGACAAGTTTACAATAGATGTTTTCATTTAATTATTAGGGGTCTAGGGTCTACCATTATACTCGTAAGGAAAACTAGGAATATTAATAATATTGTAGATTCTAGAACATTTTATTTCACCAAAAATATATAAATAAAGTTCGGGTTGGAAGGGTTTGTAGCATTGTAGTTGCCTAGTAAATGAATTATTAATTTCGATAATGTAAAGCAGTTCAATTTGTTGTTTATCATTTTTGTTGGTATTGGTAAACACTCTTTGTGGTTTTCATAACTGAACTCAAGAGTAGGAATAGAAATAGTATCTTCCAACATACATATAACTGTTGAAATTTGACTGATTTACTAGTGAAAAATTTTACAATATATTTCTTCCTTCTACTCAATATGGATTCACGTACAACTCAATGAAACATGTGTTGAAGTGAATTATGAATGTTATCGTAACATGTTAGAAATGTGAAAGAAATTTCTGTTAAGATTATGAGATGACTAATTTTGAATTTTCGTATCTATGATTTCTTGATTTAATCAGGTATTTTGAAAATGTGAGTGAAGGGAAAAGCTATAGTGCTGCTAGAGTGTGAAAACTTATCGTGTGCATCACAATTTTTGAGGTGAGTTACAAACATTTTTATTGATAAGGGAAGAGTTTAAGGAATGAGCCATTGTTCTCGACATTACTAATACATACCTTTCAGATTGCATTGTTGCATTTCTAACATGATTCATAGGCGGCTTATTTCCTATAGCTTTTCCCTTTATAACATTTTTCTGTATTGTTTTGTCTTCTTTTTGGTGGTGGATTATTTTTCATTTGCTTAATCTCTTTTAAACCCTACATAATGCTGATGTGGTGTTTACTAGTTGATATACCCAGTTAACTCAACATCTGGAAGTACTTAAATCGTTTGATCCTTGCATTTTCTCAAGTTGATATTTTCCCATGTTCTTCAAAATATAAACTAGGAATTGTTAAATTCACAAGAACAATAATTTTGAGATGAATTGAACTTTCATTAATTTAAATTTACTATGTTAAAAAATTTGCAAAGTTCAATCTGTCAAAGGACTAAAGTTGGAATTTATTTGTGGTGCTGCAGGTTTTCCGGGTTTTCCTGCAGCTGAAAAAGCAAAACTGGAATCAATCAAGTCGCCCTTGAGCGCAAATTAATTTTTGTTTGTTTTTTCATAATTTGTATTACATTTGTTTTTTATATATTAACAATTTTGTTTTTCAAGTATTTTCATATCAGGACTTCCATATCAAACATGTCACACCATTGGTATATTGTTAACTCGAATTATCTCAATATTCATATTAACTCCTTTTTTTTATTCAAACTTCTTTATAGAACATACCTATGGATAACCACGACAGTCGACTATATTAAAAAATGCAGTCTGGTTTGACACATTCATTTGCAATTAACTTTTGTGAAACTGAAAAATCTAACACGTTCAGTTGTTGATCTAGGCTTTGTCCATTAGGAAATTTATCACTGCCTGTTTGGCCTGTGGGTATCTTGTTGACCTCTGATATGATTATAGAAATATTGTTTTGAGGCAGGTTTGCTTTGGACCAGTTCATACTTATATTTTGGTTTTGAGTTTTTTTTTGACTAACTTTATTACAAGCATGTTTTTAGTTTTCAAATATACAATCCTTGTTGTGATATTGTTTTATTAGATCTTCATTTGAGCCAGTTTAAATGTTATTTACTTCAGTCTTGTCTATGCGTATTGTTTTCTTTCCCTTATCAGAACTTATAATGTAATATTTATCTGCTTTAAATTATATTTTATTGATATGGGTATCCAAATCTCAGACACTCATCAGTCAATTTGTAAGCGAGGAGTTGATTTGGTGTTTATTCAGATGTTTTTTTTTTATTTCCATTTTTTGCTTCTTCCTGTTTTTCTAAGCGAGATTTTTTTGTAGGAGTCTTTCAATGTCGTAACCACCACCATACTCTGGCTCTTTTTTGGTACATTGTTGGTCGAAAATTTCTTCTTTTTGTTTCCTAACTTCTATTGTTGGTTATTTCCATGAACTTTCCCTTTATGGTCGCAATTTTGTTTCCACGTAAAAGAGTGTGTAATGATTTCGCAGAATGGCGTGGAATATTTACTTTTGAACTCTGATAAGCATTTCATTGAAATGTAAATAAAATTTACTGAAGAATCACTAAGGGTAGATAAGGATATGGTAGAGTTGAAAAATATACCCTATGTTATTGTAAGGGAAGCATTGCATTTGAAATTTTATTTTGTCATGTCGATTTGGTTATTATTGGCCTGGTTTGTTGATTCTTTTTATTGAAAGTTTCTCCAAATGCTTGGAAATATAATATAATGATGAATGAAAGTTTCAACTATTTAATAAACATTTCATTGAGATAATGAATTTGTTATTCATTTAAAATGATTATTGGTTTTGAAATGGCATTACTTTTTCTGAATGAGGTTGTTTTTCTTGGTCGGGGATCTAGGTACTCCTTTTACTATATGCTGAAGTTAGCACTTGCAGGAATGACTGAAACTGG